TGGACGGACGGATGGATGGATGGACGGACGGATGGATGGATGGACGGATGGATGGAGGGAAGGATAAATGTGTGAATTAATCAATGAATGAACTCCAAGCAGCTGTAAGCTGTTGCAAGAAACATGTTTTAGATCATAACTTCACTCATCCTTCCTTCTCGAGTTTTAACTTCCTTTTGAGGTATTATTCTTGTAGTCACATAATCTTTAAAGGCTAAGCGGTTCTCTTTACAATATATTTTGTCCAAAGCAGTAAAAACATGCCCTCTTGATAGGGTAAGGTATTCCATCTCATTAGTATTGTTCTTAGTATTCATATTTGTGTTATAGATAAATATTATTGCCAGGCTGAAAAAGCGTTTCGTTTCGTATGATTGGGGGTTCGAGGTCAATTTGATCACAAGACATTTTGATATTCAAGCAAGTTCAAAGAAGAGACCTCATAATGAATTTACATTAAAAGGATCAACGAGTTTGATGACCGTGAGAAAAAAAAWTCAAATTTTCTTTTCTTTTCGAATACCTTTTAATTATCCAAGCACGTTTTTGTGCCGTTCGGTTCGTTAATTCTTCTGCCGAAAGACAACATTGGCTAGAAAAAACATTTTTGAAATATTTTAGACAAGTGACTTACCACAGAAAAATAAACTACATGCAGCAGCAACTTAAAAAAAAATTTTTTTGGAGAATGGATATCTGGATATTTCATAGTTTTAGTTCAAGACCACCAAAGAACAACTAAAGTCACCTTTGCCTTCAGTCACTTCGTCACAACTGTTCCATACCTGGCTTTTTAACCCTTCCAATCAATGATTCAATACCTTCTTCGTCGTACGCCTCTTCTCACAATTGTTTTGTCTATGAGCCAAACAACTCGTGACAGGAAAAAAAACGTTATCGGGATTACGTCACAATCAATCCTGGCTTTCAATATTTCAAGCTCATCAATCCTAGCTCCTTTGTTTCTTCTATTGATACATTGAAAACCATTTTAGTAGAAGTACAGACAAGGTGTTAACTTTACAATAGAATCTACACTATATCTACTTATTGCCTCATGATTTGGTGAAATATTTTTTTTATTTCCTGGAAAAGCGTCGTTTTCATGCTAAAAACTGGACATATGGAACTACTTCTACGTCATCATTAAATCTATACTAGTGCCAGTCTTTTTGACTGAGCAGCTTCCACGAATTACAGAAAAATCTTAAAACCAAAGAAAGAAACACATGCAACACTTATTGTTCTGTTATCGATTCTAGTCCAATATATATACAACAAAAATATTCATCTAAGATATTAATTTAAAATGTGTTTCTAATCACCCACAATGCATTACAATCTTTGCATTGCCGCCCCTATTTCTTTTGGCCTCGAGAGACCATCAGATGGGTCTCTTCCATAAGCACTGTACACTTTAGATCGTCAACCAATATCAGTCTCACTATCAAGCGTTGACAATACATGTATTCACCGATTCCAATGGTCGAAACCGCAACACACGAGTAATCAATGGCAATGTAAAAATTCTCAAAATTTAATCTGTGAAGATCCAATAATATCAATATGCACAAGCACACTCGAATAATGAATCTAGAATCGTTTGAGTAGGGTTGTGACATTAAAAAATCGTTTGCTAAAAACGTTAACTTGCCAAAGATTAGTTACGTGACTCATGACTCGCTGCAGCTCTAAGGTAAGTCTCACAAATAGAGACGTACAAGATGCCAGATTCTTTTGAGATTATCAATCAATTATTAATATTGCCTAATAGTTAATGGGTTATGGAATGGAACATGTCATTAGTACCTCCAGAACTTTTGAGTCACATGCGCAAAAGAAATGTGAACAAAAACATACACAAAAAGTGTYGCAATATGGATGAAAGTGTTTGGCTGTCAATGACATCGTTCAACTACATTTGGAAACCGCAAAAAGGTGGAAAACATTAAGTCTACGCCGCACTCAATACGTCTTGGTAACGAATGAAAGTCTCAAAATTACTCAGTAAAGTGTTTGACTGTTGGTGGATGGCCAGAGAAGAAGAATGTTTTTAAAGATCAATATCAAATCTCTTTTTGTTTGAAAAAATACAGGAGATAATTATTAGTTATAAATATAAAAATAAAATTTAAGGGATAAAACCTGTAAATTGAGCTTTAAAATGTTTTTTTTACGATCCACGATCCAGTCAACCAACGTCCAGTCCAGTCCAGCAATGTACGGTTCTTGATTTTCCAAAATAAAAAATCTCTTATAACTCATAATTTAGATGCATAAATGGAATATTTAGGTATTGGGCATGTTTTTCTATACATTGAGATTATCCATATTTTTTTAAAAGCTGAAAAAGACGGATCTTTTTGCGACAATACTTTTATAGCATGTAACTTGTCTTATTAACGATACTAATTTGTAATGTATCTCTGTACCCAGTAGACCGAGGACCATCTGACTAAAACCAAGCAATTACGTGAATTTGATACTGAACGTGGCCTGGCCTATTCCATTTTGCATCGATCTATCAGCGTTAGTCAAAATATTGAACCTATTAATTGATTTTTTACCCTGCATTCATTGAACATTGAAAAAAAAWAAAACTCGTCTGTTCTAACTTTTATCTCATGATTTTTTTAATTTCCTTGGTTACAAATGAATTGATTACACTTAATACCTTCCATCACTAATAATTGTTAATGATATGGCCGCTAGTTATTTATATTACTAGTTCCAAGCTGGGTCTTTTGAAGTGCCTCCCATTATGTTGTGCTAATAAATCATTGAATATTTTTTTATATTATTTTATTAGCTGTTCTTTTATTATTTGGATTTATCTGTTATCTATTACATTTTATTAGTTATTTTTCCTTATTAGTTATATTTATTAATTACTATTTATTATTACTTAAATTCTATTCCCGCACTTGGAATTTATTATTTATCACGATATTATTAATTGATAATTTTTAGTATTTGGTGTTATTATTATCATTACCACAGGCATTATTATTATTTATAGATAATTAGTTTTGTTCTTCTTCTTATTGTTACTTATTTAATATCTATTATTTATCATTAGTACAGTGTTCCATTCCCGCTTTTTTTCAAGTTATACCTTTATGAACTAAAGAAACCAAAATAACCCTGTTTTTGAAACACAGTTTCAATGCTATTGACCTTCACTTTGATGTTTCTTGGATTCCTCTTTCTTTGCATTGCATCTAAAGCCCTCCTACACTGAAACGAAATTTTATATTTCCCGACAAGTTAGTTATATGAGATCCGAGATGTTATATTTCATATTAATCTTGAACTTTGCATCCCAAGATCAAACTTTTTCCATTGAAAGGGCGTGCTACAACCTCACCCGTCAAAAAGAGAGCCTGTAACACGTGTGAAATTTTCGCTCAATTTAAAGCCTTTCGTAGCTTTGTACAAATTGTTCTGTCATAATTAGTGTAATTGCCTGTAATGTACAAGTCCAGATAATTAATTGCCGCAATTGATGAATTGAGACCATCTGTGCATCTAATGCTGTAGGCGAGAAATCTATCAGTACATGTCAAGAATTGGTGTTAATTACATTACAAGTACCGAGAAGCAGTCTTGGGAACTGATATCCTAACTATGGCAAAAGAAAATCTTTCAAAGGCAAAAACCTATCAATTTGTTGTCGTGAAAATCTTATAAATTTTAAAATGAAGTCTATATTTAGTTCACTGATTAGATTAGTGTTTTCAACCTTGGAGTGGAAGTGTTTAGAACCAGATATATCAAGTTACCTAAGCCAAGAACAGGACCAAACAAGTCCAGTGATCACTGAAAGACTGATCTATAAATAATAAACTAACGAGGGAGAGCAGTAGATGTCCATTATCTTATTTCACTATCCCGACCTAGGGTTTTTTACCTCTGAACTATAATTAATAATCATTTTACTCAAAGACTCTAGCGAAATTGTTAGGGTCTTCCATTAGCAACGTTCTTAATAAAATTAATATATTTAGTTAAACTTATATTATTAATCATCTTTGATACTGATTTAAAAACCTATCTATTTTTAAAAGATTTCCAGCGAAATGGTTTTTGTATTTCTTAAGCAACATTATCAATAAAATTAATAGATTTATATTAAACTCTATATCATAAATGATTATTGATAATAATTTTAATTTAAAAAAACATTAGAATATTGGGTGAAAAAATTACCATGGTTTTAAAATAACTAATAAATTTATATGAATTTTATATCTTTAATAAGTTTTGGTAATGATCTGAATGATTCTAAGTTGCAGATAACATTTGGCAGATAATATTTGGCATCTTTACGTTGGAATGTTGAGGGTTTTAAAATATCCCCCGGGAATAACTAATCTTCCAATTCAAAGCTCAGTGTTGCCAGTCTCTCAATCAGCAAAGATTTGCTCAAGCACTTCTCCTTGCATTCCCCTCGTGCCTCAGATCAAAAGCATAACATTTACATCAGAAAGCTTTAAGTCACGAGCCTAAGGGTAAAAAATCTCAAAATATTTTAACCTTTATTACAGAAAAATATCTGCAATCACAGTGAGAAAAGGCCACAAGAACGTTCAATTAAACGTACTTCCTGAAGGTGAGTGATGTTGCACATCTGCGTTGTAACGGTGGTCGAACCTTGGTAAAGCGACCGTGGAGTCGTATGTTACAACATACCGTGGTTTTAAATGTTTTATCTTGGTCTTCGACTATTAAGCAAGGCTAAACATGCTCATAGTTTTGATAGGATAATCTATCTTTACGGTCAAGATAGGAAGCAATAACACCAATGAAGGTATCCGGCTTTACATAAGAAAGCTTGACAAAGTGACCAAATAGACTGCATGTGAAGTGAAGTAAAACCAATTTTATAAGGAGCAGAACAATCTCTAGAAAACTCAGTTTTTTCTTTCATTCTTAAGGTACCTTATTGTTATTCTCAGGATGTTGCAGCAATCTTTTTAGCGTAATCTTGCGCTCGTTTGTCAAAAGGCACCAAAATCTGTTTCCAATCAGACGGTAATGGCATCTATTAGGTTCTGAATGGTAATTTTAAACGGTAACATGGAAGACTATTTAAAAGCATTTATTGAATGCTTTTATTTGCTAAAGAAATTGTGCAAATAGCTTATTAAAACATAAATTTCCGGTCTTCGTAATGGCCTTAGTAACTTAACAAATGACACTTTATAGATGGTTCAGAACTTCGAATGAAGGGGAAAAAATGGGCTCCCAATCTTAGACTGTCATCAGTCAAGTCGTATCGATCCTGTTAACCCTTGCTTGTCATATCGGGTCTTATATCTATGAAATACAAGCTATTATGTTAAGGATATTTCAATGCCCTCTTGAAGAATTGGGAGGAGCGTCCTCGCTGTCCTGTTAGCGCTATAATGTGCCATCTTTTAAAAATTAGAACGTCTTGACTAATGACATCCAGGGTGTAACATTTTTTAGGATGCACAAAGATGCTTCTCATTGGAAATAAAGCTCTACAAGTTATTCCTAGCTTTCCACAAATCTGGGTCGTTAAACACACTGAGTTGTTTACAATGTTGTGCCTCATTTACCATCATCTGCAAGACTATAATTTACCCTCATTTGCGCTATTCACTGTTCTCCAGTATATGGGCTACAATGCCATAAGGTGCTCCAAACAAAGCTATTCTAATCCATTCTTACCTATGTACAACAAAAAGCCACACACATGGATCGCACTGAGCTGCGTGTTGACTTAGCATTCAGCTGAAATAGTCTCGACAGCTCAAGACAACAGGCGGAACATTAAATAGTCCCAAAAACCCGAAGAAAGATCTCTTTCATCTTACAGATAATAGCGGAGATTTGATAAAAGATACCATTAATAAACTGAATGACTTGGTAAGTTAATTAAAAAGTGTCTCAATTCTAAGATGCAAGAAGATTAGAAACGACAACCGACCTTTGCTGGTCAGAGATTTAGCACTTGTTTTCTTTGATAATATTTGTAAAAAAAGACAATCGAGTTAAGTGAGTTGATGGAATGATAGCAATGAAGGCCTTGTCATTGCTTGTCCTATTGTACATTTGATTTCATACTTGTTTGTATGACATTTTGATGCCAGAATCCTGGTGTTATAAATCGATCCCCAGAGATAAGACGTTGTCGTCCAACTCCACCAAGGGCGTGAAATCCAGTATACATTGATATATGTCTCTCTTTTCTAGGGTTTTTCTAGAATATCTTTATCACTACAGGTTTAGTTCTGCGACGTCTGCAATGGCACTGAGCCTGTTTAGTGGTTGTTAACATGCAGAAATGGTGGTTTTTCTTTTGCAGTATTTTTAGGAGGCTGAAAGTGCAAAACGTGCGATCATTATCGGTAAATGTGAGATGAGCTTCTCGTTTCAGTTCATATAATTTAGTATTTTCAAGTACACATATCAGCTCAGATTGTGTAATTTTAAGTAGTGGAAGACGATGTCGACTGATTCTGTCACTTCCTTCTTTTTCCTCTGGGACTGATTCTTCTTGTTTTCCATTTCCTTTGAGCTTTTTCTCCTTTATATCTCTCCTACTCATCCTATTAATTGAACACTTTCGTCTTCTCAATCAAAATGTTCGTTTTTCTTAATTTTTCATGAATTTTCTTTTTATTCTTTCATGTTGTTTATCATTGGATCAACTTCATTTTTGCAACGTGGTCTTGTTAATGTTTCTCTCTGAGATGCTCTGTTCTGAATGGATAAAGGTCACGTGGTCATTCCATCTTAAACGGTTCTCTAATACTAAAAACAAGTTACAGGATCAAAATACATCATTCTTTTTTAACATTCGATGCTGGTTGCATTGGTGAGAGGCGACGCATCAGTAGCAGCGAACGCCACCCGTGCTCCCCAAATTGACGCACAAGTCATTAGTTGTGTGAGTGTGTGGCCCTTTTGGACCAAAAAAACGGACAGTTAAAACGAGAACTTAGTAAACCCAGCCAGGACGAAAACGCTTAACCGGGCGTTGCTAAAATTGCCAAAAATAACACAGGTACCAAGTGTGTGACGCCGACAGAACATTTGTGGAACAGACGTAGATGGCTCAGCATTGCCCAAAATAATCCTCTTCTTACTTCCTGTTTCTCTGTCTTCAATAGAATATTGATGCAAGAGATTATCTTTATTAATTCGAGAAAATTGTCGTTACGAGAGTGTTCTTTCGGCTCCGCAAGAACAGCGGTATCGAAGGTGAGTTGGACTAGAAATGAAGGGAAATGATTAAAATAGAAGAAAGAGGAAGAAACCCAAGAAAAAAGCTAAGGTTTTAACGATAGGTAATTATTATTAGCAAGCTAAAGGATCAGTCATTGGTCTAGTCTGCTGCAGGACTTTCTATATCTTTTCTYGATGCTCGTGTCTTACTTAGAGGGGAGGGGGACAGGGAAAGTTCACATTTACAATTTTCCTAAAGCGGTAAACGTACGAGAATGTCATTTCAGTTTAGGAGTGATTTGCCTGTTTACAGAAATACAATTTCAGAGTATTTCCAGTCTGATTTTGATTCAAATCAGAGCCTGGGCAAAACGTTTGATCTAGCTTCAGTTGTAATTAGTCCTGTAGATAAAGAGTCTGTAATGGAGGCTAATATGTGATGACATGGCGATTTGTAAATCAGAAATAGCCTGGGGGCTTCTTCAGAGATCAACAATGAAATAACTTGCTGATAGGGAGAACATGCAATATATTAGCCACATTATAGAACAAATAAACAGCTTGGGTAGATCTTCCTGAATAACAGAGGATAGAAAATCTAAAGTTGTCCCACCAAGGGAGTAACTCTTTCGTTATAGGGCAAAAACGACTGCTACATTACAACAAATACTACTTGCGAAGTTTAAACTTTCATGAAGACCAGGGCCCGGCTGTACGAAAGGTTGGATAGCGCTATCCGACGGATAAATCCTTATGCAGTGGATAAGTCGATGCTGTTATCCCATACGTTTATCCATTGGATAGGATTTATCCRCCGAATAGCGCTATCCACCCTTCGTACGACCGGGCCCATGAGTTATAGGCAAGTAAATTCGCAAGTGCGCACTGTTAGTCTTTTTGACAGCTAAACCATGAATGCTGGGCTGGTCTTTAGGTTAAAAATAAGCAGAAAGAAATTCTCTGCTCGAACACTTGAACTGATTTGTGTTTGTTTGCGTTGTCCATTTTCTTTGCCTTTTGTGGGGGCTAGAATAGCCATCAAGCAGAATGTACCCCCTGAACGGTCCCCTACTCTACCGTTTGGTAAATATGGTTGTCAAGACTTTCTTTAAGGAAGAGAACAATATGCCTAATTTTAGCAGATTAGTTCTCATAAAAGCAAACAAGATGTTGTGATTGCTAAAGCTGCATTCTGTGGATAAAACAAACGGTTTGTTTTGATTTAAAGTAGATAAATGGAGCAGATGAAAAAACAAAACCTTTCAGGGTACGAGAAATCCTTTAAGCTAACAGAAACCTGATTTGTTAATGGTTTTTGTGTTATCTGCAAAGCTGCTGGACAAGCCCTTAGAAGACTGATCTAACAAATTAGTGAATACCCGAGGGTCTGTCGGATAGCTGTCGGAAGTGAAGGACTTCACTTGCATTAAACTGGACTAAGTTGGATAACATTTATTCAGGATTTACATACATCATCTGGTTAAGCCACAATGGCGTCCTTATTTGAATATTTTCGTTGAAAATGTTTCTAACCTGTGTTCTTGTAGTTATGAGAATATGTGTTCTTATATAGTTAGGTAAGGATGTTTTTTTATCAAAAGAGATCTTCAAGAATTGTCAGGATAGTGCATGGTGCTCAGAAGGTCATGATGAAGATGATGATGATCAAGACATCATGATTAGTGCGCTCCAAGTAGAATTAACTGAGTCATTTTATGACGATATATAATAATAATAATAATAATAATAATAATAATAAATAATAATAATAATAATAAATAGTAATAATAAATAATAATAAATAATAATAATAATAACTTTATTCACGTGTCTATGTTTTTAGTTTATACAACTAATTGGGGACACAAAAGAAAGAAAATATCTATATCTAATATCTAAAATAAATCTAAAAAATTATAATGTATATATACATATATATATAATTTATCTCAAACGGTAATAAGCTATAAAATTAAGTTAAGTAGGTTAAGAATTCATAATGAAAAAATGTACGTAAAATTATAATAGAAGATTAATAAGTATATCATTAAAAATATCTATTGAAAAAAAATCTACGATCCTAAAGACCTGTAAACTCGGTAATAGCTTAGGATGTTTTGTGTATAGTTATATTCAAGCATGACACCCGAAAAGAGGATAAAAATGACAAAGTAAAGGATTTCTAAAATTATAATAGATAATGTATTCAGGCTGTATTCTCTTACTCATTTATCTAAAATTAGAGTTGATAATGATGATGCTTGGTAATGATGGTGATGGTGATGATAATGATGATTATAATAATGATCAGTAGTAGTTTTAGAATCCCATCTGTAAACAGAGGCAAGGTTATTGTTAGTTCTTCCCAAGTATGACGTCCAGAATGGTTATTATTGATCAAATCAAGTGCAACTTACGAGAGGATACTTCTGCAGCAAGGACAGAAAATACTAACGGAGGTGTGTATGCGGTCACTTCCTTGCGTCCTCATGTGACGAGTGCAAAATGGGAATGGCATTGATATTATTATCAAGGCAAGGTCTAATATCTGTAGGATTATTAATAGTAAGGTTCTATTGTCTCCAAATAGTTATTTCTGGATTTCTGATGACGCGGTTCACTTTGTATATTTAACAAAGCGTGCAAATAAAATATTTGGTCCGAGTTTAGAAACTAAATTAAACCCTCTTGACGTAGGACTTCTCATGACAATTGAGTAAATGAGGCACAATCTTTTGGGTGAGGCTGCTTTCCTTTTTAGAATTCGACAGCTGGTTAGGACTACGATATTTATCGACTCTTTTTCTTTTCGCATTTCACTAAACTGTTTAAGTCCGTTTCTATCTTTCCCAGCCTATTTTCGATGATCTTCCCACTTTCTCTGCCCTTCTCATACCTTGTTTGTTCTGACTTAAAGGCACAAACAAATTAAAAGTTTACAATTATATTGTTTATTTAGAAGCAGAAGTGTCGGCGAAAAAGAGCAGGGTTTTGAATCTAGAATTGCTTTCTTCTTGTCTTGACTGGCGTCCCTTTTTTTTAAATACAACATTTAGCCAGAAAATATCTATGTGAAAACCGAGAAGAAAGAAGAATTCGAAGACAAGCTGATACTTGTGCGCATCTCTTGACCTTTAATGAAAGATTAGCCTTTGCTAAGATAACACTTTTAGTCGCTAAACTCTCTATCCAAACAGGAGCCAACAAAACTGTAAAAACACCGCTACACAATGAGCTATAGGTTATGAATAACATATGCATCTATTGGTATCAGCAATACTAAGCCATCACGTATTGATTGTTAGCTTGTGGTTAGGCTTGCGTACTTCTAGACTCGCGTGCCTTTTTTAGGTGGGAATTTAGGGGCCTTGGCTTCGTCTTCCTGGCACTTAGCAAGCTATTTTTACTGGAATAACCTACTCCAAACAAGGACCAAGGCTATAAATAATTAGTGCCATATGAAGCGCTTTCAACTATGTAGACATTAAAAAGAGCAAAAATCAATGATTCAATTCCTAGCGTGTGCGTTTCTGGGCAACTCACAAGGACTGTTCATAGTTCATATTGGCCAGGTTGAAAATTTATGGAAAAGAAATCACTTCTCCTATCATAGCATAAATGTAAAAGATCGAATTATGAATTGTATAGGGCTTTGCCTTTTCGTACTATAGTACTGTGGCGGTTAATGTCTATTTTTTCAGTATCGTTGCACTAAAGAAACTTTAATTACTTTCGTATAAACTATCACCGATTCCATTGAGCAATACAAAGTGGATATTCAGTAGGACAAGTATTTAAAAAGATATCGCAAAATAGATAAACATGAATTTTATATGCCATTCAAGTGAGCGACCAATTTTAACCGTACCATCCAAACACTTTGCTCTTTGCTCTCATAAAAGCTATCACTTCCCAAAATGGGAGGAGTTTGCATGATAAACCTTATTTGATTATCGAGTTTAAATTCCGTTGGACATTTATTCCGTTGCGATATTACAAAGATTTACAAATTGACTTCTAAACTGTGTCTATGAACTAGTAATTTAAGTCACCTAAACCGGAAACTCATAAATCCAGAGGTATGGTGTTGCTTTCTTTAAGGCTAATGGGACAGTAATACTTGAGCCGACCAATCAGAATGTTCCTTTCCACGCATGCGTATTACATCGATAGGTTCGTCAGTGTCATTTTTGTGACTATTTTCTTGCAAGGGCTTAGTGAGTCAAGACACTCGGTATTTGCACAAATTTATGGTGGTTTTTAATGAATAAGCTACGAGTTAAACCTGCCTTAGCTGGTACAATGCATGTAAGTACAAGAAGTGTTTTCATTGGCTCTTGTCAACCGAAAGAAACGGGGTTTTTACTGACCCAGGTCATCGAAAATAGTTGCATTGAATCCAAGAAATTCCATCTTCTTATTTTCGTGTATTTCTAAGGTGACCGCGTTTTGAGCTTAAATATTTTAGTTCAATTCCCATCATCGCTGACACCTGACTTTGTATTATATTATGTTGGCAAATATTGTTTTCGTTTTGTCTTTTCTAAACTTTCGACCTTGTAAACATCCTAGTAGAAATACGAGATTTACCGCGCTTCTCAATGAACCTTAACGAGATCCAGATTGCAAAAATACTGAAATGTATTGTATTCATATGCGTGCAACAATAGCTCGCTAACGAAAAAGAAACGATTGGTTTCACTGAAAATGTATGTCACATTATCACCATCTCTCAGATCGAGATCTTTTCCCACCTCATTTAGTTGTTTGTTTTTGTTTTTAAATACCAATATCTGATGGCTTTGGTAGCATTCCGATAGAAAAACTTTGATATCATTAATTTGTTCGTTATATATCAAGTTAGAATCTCCTAGTACTAATCCTCTTAGTTCCCGGCAAAACCAGGCCAGATTTTGTTACAAGTGCAGAAAAATAATAAGCTCATGAGATCACGGCAGTTTTGGCGCCATGAATTTTAGTTCTTTTGAGCACCACATATTGTCTTTAAGGAGATTACAGACATCTCGGAATAGCGCGTTTACACTTCACTCTATCCAAAGTAAATTATGACCTTTAGGGCTCTTTTGCCTTTGCGAATTTTCCGAACCATCTTCAGCTAATTAGTCTAATTTAATCCTCTAATTTGCGCATTTTGTAATCAGATAGTGGTGGTGTTATATAATAAATACTCTATCAGTTTTATCCATGCTTTATGTCCACCATTAATCGTCTCACGAAAATCGAAAAAAAAATTATTGCCTTTGTGTGGAGTTGTTTTTAGAGGGTGTAAGGTGAAGGACGTAAATAATTATCGTTCTTCTGAATTGATTACTAAAAAGGAACTTTGAGAAAGTAAATAAGAATTGTAAAAAGACGAGGTCAATAAGAATTCACTGGACGTCAAAGATTACAAATTTCTTATTGCAAATACTCTTACGCCTAGTTGAAAAACTTCTCGGAGGGTCAAGGGCAATTGACTTGCCTTTTCGCAGAAGAAGGGTGTCATCAGAAACAAAATTCTTTCCATGAAATGTGTCAGGTTCTACCTCAAAGTTCTTTAAATGATGCTTAAGAAAACTTGACTTAATGAACTGATATTTTCGTTGAACGATATCGTTAAGCAGAGTAGAGATTTTCCTCTATAGTAGAAGTCAGTTCTTTGGGTACTATTGGATGTCATATCTAGGCCTGGTCAACTTGTGTGACTTTCCATTGGAATGTATTACACTTTAGATAAACATATTCGGATGTTATATCAGTTGTTATCTTAGATACACAGGACCTGATAACACAATACAAGCCATGCTGACCACGCTATGCTAAATGGATCATCTGATCAGCTTGCTGGTTGCTAAATCAAAAGCGCATTAAATTGGACTTAGCTGTTTGACATACATTCTTTGAATCTGGGCAACACACTCAAACACGCAGTTTTGACTTGGAGTTTGATTTTATTCGCCATCCTAAATTGCAGAATAATAACCTTGATTAAAATAAATCTGGTCCAATTTCGATAAGCAGATCTTGAATATATCTTTGTTAAAAAAGGATTCTCACCAATGCACAGGTTTTTGATTCTATCACAAAAATTCTTTAATTTTTGACACGCAAAAAAAATTCTCGCAATGCGTTTTCCTTTGCCAAGGAATTGACGCTGCCAAGAAAAGGTTAAAGACCTTAATTTTTATGAATCAACTATGTCAAAAATGGGAAGGTTAGGCAAAGTTTGCTTAAAAGAAGTGGTTAAGAAGAAAACAAACACCTAAAAAACATATAATTCAATCGTGAGAAATTGTGGACATTAATCTCATCCTGACTTTTAAAATAAACTGAAAATAGATAAACTGTTTTGAGGTCAAGAAACAAGAAACATATTTCATACTAAATATGTGAGACAGATATTTTTAGCATTTCACTTATGGGAATTAAATACTAAATAGAATGCGCATGCGTAGAAATGGTACAGAATGGAAGGATGAGGGGAAAAAACACACAAAACTCAACCGCTTGTAAAGCTCACTTGGTCTACACATTAAATTAAATTAAATATGAATTCATGAAAAAAGAAAAAGTGGTCAAATCAAGAAAACACAAATGTCCAAAAAATATTTTAATGTCAAAATTTCTAATAATTGTCCTGCCATCAAAATATTTGAATCTATGACGAACAAATGAATGATGCTTTGGACAAGGGAACAGTCCCTTTCGCAATTATTCACTGCGCCATCTTGAAAAGTAGCCGTGCTTTTGCCTCGAAGCGACACAAACGGAGAGCTTGCAACGATAGAGACCCTTTTTTCACCTTGAAAAATTATTCACATGTTCCTATCATTGCAAGCTTACTGTCCGCCTCGCTTCGATGCAAAGGCACGGCAACCTTCCAAGATGGCGCCGGGAACCGTGAAAATTTGGTACAAGGACGACATTCATAATTTCTATTGCAAACCTAAAACCACGAGTGAAAATTTAGGAATATTTAGTTCCAGTTCTGATGACTTAAAGTTCGACCTCAAATAGGATTGTACATACTTAAGCTAATCTTACTAGATTAAATACTTTGTGGATTTGTGGTTGTAAATCATTCCTATTATGAATACTATGATCCTATCCTACTCCAATTAACAGATCACTTGTTTCAGACTCGTTTGATTGTGAAGACAACGAGGCGCTAGCGTGCTGCACAGAATTGGTTGATTAATTATGGCTTATCATCACGTCTTATGTTTCAGGCATCAATCCTATAAATCTGAACGTTCGATGAACTGAGGCAAACACAATGAAGTCTATTGGCAATTTAYTGGCTCTCCTCTTCTGTATTAGTCTGGCTCAAGGTAAGTACTTCCTTGTCATTTTTTGAGTACATACCACATATCCGTGAAAAACGTTGTAAGAATTTGCGCAAATTTACACAAATTAGTAATGGTTCAGTAGACCTCAGTAGACCGTAGACGTACAAAACTTTGTCCTAATTCGTACAATTTGGTTAGTCAACTTTTGCACGGATATGTCATGTACTCTATGATATCAATCGATGTTTAGTCTTTAAGAGATAAAATGAAGTTTACACCGGAATAAATGAAAATTGAAAAGAAGTAAAACTTATCTTGACTCAATGAAAAAGGAATCAAGTAGTTCAATCGTATAGATTTGACCCAAAGTTTTGTTCTGACTTTGAGTTATTATTTAAACATGACTTTTTAAAGATTTATTTTACTTTTTTTTTCAAGTTTTTTTTTATTATCCCGGCAGACTCTGCATGCATGAGCTAGTTATGACAGTCACAGTGACATTTTTTCTCGGTCAACTCTATATTTTACTGCACGTGTTCAACGTTTTTTCCTTTTCTTGACACTCGGGAAGGAAAATCTAACCGTAGCGCGCATATTAACTGTACTCTTGGTAGAAAAAGGTAAAAAAAAGGCAAAGGTAATTTATTGGTTGCCCAATTCTCCCGAGCCAAGGGCTCATGTTTAATGCGCGCGAAGGTGTGCCCTCTACCCCCTCTTACTATCAGTGCTCCTTTTTACGGGCATTTAAAGCTAATTAAAGCTACACAGAATAGAGAGAAGTCGAAAAAAGAGTTAATGTTTACAGAAATTGCACTCGAGTATGATAAGCAAAGTGTTCGTGATCAAATGACATTGCTAGTCCTCCTTCGCAGGGGCGTGTTAATTACACCACTTATGTGATACACATTGTTTAATTTATCCAAAATAGCCTACCAATGAGGGTTGAGCAGGGATGGGAAGAGATATGATACGGAGTATTCATCGCACCACAATCGAAAAATAATGAAAAGCGTGTGTTTACACAAGATGTAACAACTATGTGCGGTGATTATATCAATCGAACTGATAAACTCAAGACACAGCTCAAAATCAAAAAAAACGTTATAAAGCCGCCGAGCCATTCGATTATTTCATCTTCTCGCCTAAGCTATTATGACCAGAAGAGGTAGAGAAAGCCTCAAGACTTTTCATAATAGCGCCTCTCCGAAGTTCAAAGGAATAGTGGTAACGACTTTGTGATGCAAAGGATCGTGGGGCTGTACGGGGAAAAGCGATGGCGGAGGTTTTTGATATTGTCCCGCACCCTATCCCACAATCCTATGCACCACATGGCCAGGTCTTACTTTTCGCGGCCTTGGAAAGGAGAATGCAATCTTGCTGTACTGTGCCATCAGTTTCAATTTGTCAGTCTTTATAACACTTATTCATTGCACATTTGAATTCGCTTCAGATAGCAGACACCTCCCAAAATTATTTTGGATGCGAGGCTAACACGATTTCTATCAAAAAAATTGTTTTATCTCTTTACTATTCATGCCAGTCTCTCGCATCCAAGATAATTTTGAGAGGGGTCTATTTTTCCTATTCTAATTGATTTCACCTCAAGAACTTGATCAAAATTTATTGCGCGCGTGCTAAATTCAAAAGAACACAAGAAAAAACTCCTGCATTATCATTTAGATAAAAATATTTGATAGCTCCTCAAATCGTACTGAGTCAACCCATCTCCAATTACAATGCGAACCTCCAATGTTTTGGCGACTAAATTAAGTTACTAAAAAGGGTGCTTTTCAGTTATCACTTAACGAGAGATCTTCAAAATGGCGACCATGACGTCACACCCTGATGTCACTTGCTTATATTAGAAACAAGGGTGTAACGCCTGTACTTTAATTCAGAAAGTGCACTTTGAACTTATAATTAATGATCTCGTGGTTAATATTATTTATCAAATTTTTCCATCGAAGCTTAAATTGATATCTTAGTGGTCTTAGAGTTTTGCAGCGCCTTGGAGTCTGCGAAGGAAAAAGGCGTACATTGCTCGCAAGATTACGTGTTAAGAAGTCACTCAGTAAGGTTGTAGGCGATTAGAGAAATACTAGTTTGTGCTCGGCCGTATCTAAAATTATTCATCTATCTAGTTGTCTGAATCATCGATCTTTGATACTTCTACTACTGGTGTGTGCGAGATAGTGTGTTAAGCTTAGTGTAAAGATTGTTATCGTTTAGACTTGCCTTAACCAATCTCTTCTCTTGGCTTGATTTACTAATAACATCTTGGTTGGGTTCAGATTTTTCTGGACAAGACTGCCGCTTTTATCATCGTTAAGCGTTGCAGAAAAGACATCCATCCAAAAATGCGCAGATTTGCTCCCGCGAGATTCTGTTTATGAGTGTATCTGATCTTTAGAAGAATTTCATTTATTTCTTTGCTTTCGTTTTTTCGTGTTTTTTTTTCTTTTCTTTCATCCTCCCATTTTCTAAGACAGAAGTGGAAACACTCTTGTGACGAAGCCAAGATCACGAACTGTTCGGTTTAATACTGACTAAATCACAGCAAGCGCAAGAATCAATAATGTATTTCTTAGGGCATGTTAATAAAACATTTTTGCTTTGTTCTTGTTAGAAGCACTTGCCGCAAAAGATACAAAAAACGTAACGATCACCGAAGGTCAAGATGCAACCCTACCCTGTCATCTACCACCAAACACGAAGAAGATCTTCAAAATAACATGGTTTAAAGGGCTCGACAAATATCTTACGAAGAATTTAATAGTTGTATCGGTGTCTAAATACACCTCAAGAAATGTAGATATAGTTGGGCAGAATTCTCTTTTCATCCCGGCGACTACGAGAGATGACGCTGGGATGTATCAATGCAAAGCGTTATACGTGGGATCCGCGATCACAATGGGTAGCGCCAACATCACACTATACGTCAAAGGTAGGAAAATCTTTGCTCGGTCCTTTTACATCAGTCATGCATTTTATTGATCACTTTTCATAAACTCGCTCAGAGAAAAAAGTATAGTATTCCCACTGAGAACTATCACACACAATAATGCCGGGAAATGATCAGTGTATGAAGATAGGGGAGAAGACCTCCGAGGCGGTTGTGACCGCGTAGCTCACAATGTTGGAATGGGTGATTGCGATGGGTGAACTTTTCGGTAAATGACGGGTTATTTATATCAATATGAGTACCTGGCAATGTGGAATGTAGTCACCTGGCACACGTTACTCTCGAGAATGGTGAAAAATGTGTAAGATTTGAGGCATAGTGCGTAAAGCTCCCAGTGAGAAAATGCGTAAAGCTCCCAGTGAGAATTGTTCCAGTTAAAAATTCAAATTACCTTGCACACTTGTTTGAGTTTTGATAAGAATTAATTTTGTTATTATTTTTTCGTTCAATACTTAATATTTATATTTTAACATCTTATTTTACAAGATCTTGTTACTTTTTAATTCTAATTTAATATTTTAATCTTCTCCAACTCATACAATAATTTCCTTTTAAATTCATAATTTTATTCCAGTTATTTCTTTTGAAAAATTAGATTTAATGATCAGTAATTAAAGTAATGGGACTAAAATGGGATCGAAAATGGGAAGACGTTAGGTTCCAAAAAAAATCTATTAATTACTTGAAAAGGTAACGATATATATAATTTGCAGTCATTCGCAAGAGAACGATGAAACGAATTTAAGAGTCGCAGAGGCCATTACAACCTGACTGTGATTAAATTGACCAATGAATCCCTGCTATCACATCGTATATAGTCAATAAAAACAGAATATTATCGTTTTTCTAATCTTTTTAGCGGCGCCAAAAATCAACAGACGAAAACCAGCCATCTTAACATTCTACCAACCTACAAATCCCCCTGCGAACCTCGTCATCGACTGTCAAGCCACAGGGTATCCGCAACCCGAATTTTCTTGGAGCAGATACAAACGAAAGATGGCAAAGGATCGCGTTAGTCAATACCAAAACGGTAGTCTGGTTATTGCAGATGCACACAAGGTCGATGGTGGTGGATACACATGCGTAGCATCGAATAGCCTGGGAACTGACATGAAGAACTTCACAGTCATCGTACTAGGTAACTATTTACAGATACAGATCTATCGACAAGCATTCAAGGAGATACGGTTAGGATATTATAGGGTGATTTACTGTTGCTTGTTGCACTAGAGAAATACACAGGCAGACAGAGATTAAGATGTACAGAAACAGACAGACAGACAGACAGACATCAGCGCATCAGAAATGTCTACATAAAACTGTGTCATTGAAGATGACATCCTTCATTCTAACCGCAAGAACAGCAAGAGATAGAACGTTCCGGCTTTTATCGGCTGACCAGATTTATAGGACTTCAGAGACTATTTATCAACATGTATATCTATATAATTGCATAAAGTTCGTGGGTTGAAAAAAGTTACCGTATAGTTTGAACTAGTCTTAGTAGATACAAGTGATAGTTGACATCGAACATTGATCAGTATAGGCAGCCATGATCAAGAAAACGATATGCAGCAACAAATACAACATAGTTACAATAGCCAGTAAGAAAAAGGGCAAGGAAGCCCTATAGACTGCTAAGGAAAAGTAATTTTGTCAAAACTAAATTGAATCTTTCTTATTCCTTCATTCAACCAGAACCACCATCGATTATCGGAAAAACAAATTACCATTTCAATACTGGCACCACTGCCAAAATAAAATGTGAATCCCGCGGGAATCCCGAACCAGAATTCACATGGTCCTGGACCGACAGTAAAAATGTAAACATGACTCTCAAAGATGGCGAGGAAGACCATCGATACAAAGTTACTACGAGCCATGGTAACGCCTCTAGCATCAGCGTTTTAAGTATCCAGAAAATAACGACTCAGGATTGGATGGAATACAAGTGTATCGCTAAGAACAAGTATGGCGAGGATGAAGAGGACATCACTTTGAAAGGATACAGTAAGTATTAAACAGTACTGGAACATCAATTCAAATAGATATTTGCTAGACATCACAATTGATGCGCGCGCCGCTCATTGTTTTGATTTGATGGAGTTTTTTTCTTACAGTTGTATCGAGTTTTTTATGTTACTCCGAAGATGAGCGCGTAGATCGAAAGCTCGATAAAATTAAAGAAATTATATAAAGGTTAATGAAACAAATCTAACCAAATAAATATTGGAGTTTTTTTTCGATATTTCTTGCATTTAAGCCGCAAAATATGACACACTGATCGACAAAAGAGGATTTTAGGTAATATTTTATCATGTCGGAACGAACTTCTATTTTACTTTTGCCTTGTTATGCTAGGTTTTCACGGAGTTAATCCTCTCGACTCGAAAAAATGTTCACGCTGAAGTAATAATGGAAGACTATATACTAATGGCTGTAAATAAATGCGCATGTTAAAATTATCATTCGTAGCGGCGATTTGAATTAAGGAAAATTTAGGATAAACAGAAGATAGAAGACCTTTAGCACGACGTTCTTGCTAGGTACCGCAAACCTCAAACTGCAGTTTGACGTCAGGCGTTTTCCGTCAAACTTTTAACATTTAGCGAGGCGTCATAATGAAGTTGTTGCTGGAAGAGTCGCCATATTGAATATCATTGATGCTGAGTGTTTCTCCGTGTTTGCGGGCGTGTTTCTGGACCTGATCCCCAGCGGTAAACCTGATGCTAAAGGTCTCTATATACTAATATATTGAGTTTTACGCTCACCATTTAAGGGGTTTTCACTGACTTTCCTCTTATAGCCAAACCCAAATCGCCACGTATCCTGTCTGTTACGACGTCCTCCACTACAGCTGAAGTAAAGTGGGAATTTTCCGACAACGGGGGAGTGGAACTAGAATCGTTGACCCTACAGTACAAAGTGAGCAGTGATAAACGTTGGAAGGCCATTCAAATAACACCTCCAGATACTACAACGCACACTATCACTGATCTTCGCTCTGACACCAATTACAACTACCGTATCCTAGCAACCAACCAATTAGGGAGCAGTCCGCCAAGTTCTATTTATATGGCAAAAACAAAGCTAAAAGGTGTGTGTGTTTGATGATATAATATATAGAATCTCTTAGAAGAACACTCCTCTTTTCTCTCTTTTATTCATTCATCCCGCCCCTAGGTTTTACTGGTGCCAGTGAGGTTGGCATTGGTAGCCAGTTGTACTAATATTATATTATTTTCACAAAACAAATGGTTTCTCTTTCGTTAAATGTCAATTTTTAAAAAGATTCCAATTTTGTCTATACTCTAAAACAAGGGTTTATTTAAGTCAGGATATTGCCGTGTTAGGCTTTGCATTTCGAGATCACATGACACGTGTCCGCACTCATTTGTTATAGCAAAGGGGGCAGAGGCGCAGCGAGAGTCCATGCCTTGAGGGAGGTTGTTACCCCGAAAAGCAATAAAATAACATTATTCTCACATTTTGAATGGTCATATCAAAGTAAAGTATCAAAAAGAAACCAGGAAATTTAAGATAAATCAATACCTCTCCCTCTCCC